ATCGAACCGCTAATCTTCCGGTTAAAAAAACGACCCGCTCTACCTCCTGAGCCACAGCCACCCCATGTCTCTTTCTTTTACTTGCTGTCAGCAATACAGTAGTTTAATCCTGAAATGCAAGGTATCATCTTTTGTTGAGAAATAATTGTTGACAGTGCTGAACACTTGAAGTCTCTGCTGGTTTCCTGGCAACCTCCCAGTGAAGAAAAGATTTCCGTTACTGCTTATAGCCACAAAATAGCCCCGGCATGTATTGTAAGCACCTGTAAGACTGCAGTTTGTAGATTTTACCTTTCAGCAACAATTTGCACAAGTTAAACAAAAAAGATCTAAAACGTGTCAGTTTTAGACCATTAACGGTACTGGTAACTTGACTTTGTTACTTTTGCACAGAGCCATACCACTGTACCTGGTTACCCTTGTTTCCAGTCTTTATGCTAAGCTAACTGGATAGGCTAATATTTTTCAGACAGATATGAACGTGGTATCAATATTTTGCTCTAACTCTCAGCAAAAGTGAATAAGCCTGTTCTCCAAAATGTGGACAAAACTAAATCACTGCTAAATGTGTCTGTTTCATATCTTAAAGCTGTTATTTACTGTAGTTAGTATTAGCTATTGAATTTATGTATTTATGGAGTGCAGTCAGTGTCAGTTGGTCAGTCAGATTTTTTTATCACATAAAGGCAAATGTGTGGAATATTACCTCAAAAAACATTTGCAAAGTCTTTTATAGACAACATTAGTTTCATTCTTTTCGTCTATTATTAGTGCACTTGTGATTTTACAGCAACACTACAAACCGTTACTGCCCTTTGCAGTCTGTGAATGTGTGAATGGCCAGCATGTTCATTTTTATGAGGATGCTAGTAGAGCATGCTATCATTACTCTGCCAGTAGTGATCAAGACCCCTCAGGGTGTCTTTAATTTAGTAAAATATTTGTTAATCTGTCTCAGTGCCCAGTTTTGCAAAAAGCCTCCTACAGCAAAGTGGCAAAAATGGTAAACAATTAAAGATCAGTGCATCTGGATTCAGTTTTAATTTACCACGTCTATGTCCAGCCCATCATCAAACATCTGTTGGAAACTGTACCTACAGTATCTGATGCTGGCTGGCATCATCCAGTGGCTTCTTGCTGAAGTAGCGAAGATTTGTTTTCACACAGATATATTTGTACACAGACAATATGGTTTGCTTCGAGACACTCTGATCTCTTTCTCAAATTCTGAAGTATTTAGTGGTGATAAAATAGAGCTTTTTCTGGGCAATGTTGGTTGAAAATTAACAGAACAGTGCTTATATAAGATGTGAAGGTTTTTTTTCTAAGAGGACTATTGTTTCTTTTGCAGTTTGTGAAGTGCAAGTGCAGGTAGTGGTTTTATTTTGAGAGTGCCTCTCTTTCACTAAAGCAGGGTCAAAGTGTGCAGTGGAAGCAGTTGGGTGGTTTCTGTTTTCATCTAGCAAATGAATATAATATGAGATCTTTGGGGTGGTGCAGTTAGCGTTGTCACCTCACATCAAGAAGGCTCCGGGTCTGATCCGGGCCGACATGGTGCCTTTTTGTATGGAGTTTGCATGTTCGCCCTGTGCCTGTGTGGGTTCTCTCTTGGTACTCCGGCTTCCTCCCACAGTCCACAGACATGCAGCTTAGGTGGATTGGAGAGTATAAATTGAGTGTGAGTGTGTGTGGTTGTTTGCCTAATGTCAACCCTGTGATAGACTGATGATCTAGCCAAGGTGTACCCTGCCTCTTGCCCAGTGTCAGCTGGGATAGGTTCCAGCCCCCCTGTGACCCTATTCAGGAATAAGCAGTATAGATAATGGATGGATGGATTGCTGGGGAAAACTGTTACTGGTTGCCTTTATTAAGTGTGATGGAAGATGCTGCCCTCTGTTTTTTTTTTTAGAATGAGAAGGGTCAGGGAATATGACAAAGCTTCAGGGCATTTAGTGTAGTAGGAGGAGTAAGGAGAGAAATATGGTAAATGGACTGTATTTATATAGCGCATTTTTCCCCCAGTGTGTTGCACTGGCCAAAACGCTTTACAGGAGATGATACACCATTCACCCATTCACACATCGATGATGACAGGCTGCCACACAACGGTGCTAGTCAAGCCACCGTCTTGCTCAGGGACACTTAGGCATGCAGGGAGACCGGGAGTCAAACCACCAACTCGCTAGTCAGGAGACGACTGCCCTACCTCATGAGCCACAGCCACAGCCACCCCTAAGTAAATAGGATTACAAAGTATAAGAGAGAGGATAGATGGTCCTTTTTAGTCCAGTGATAAATATTTTAGGACCACTTTTTGAAGAGAAACATTATAATTAACAAATACTTTATGTCCAGGAAGGGCCCCATAGAAAGCAGTTATGTTTGAGCAATTTACAATAGATAAACCAGGGTAGATATAAACACTACTATACTTATAGATCTGAGTCATACAGTACTTCTAAGTTTCTTTCCTTTATCAGTGTTCCTGATAAAGGTGCATTCGGTAGTGTTGAACTCAAACAAAAACACCCCAGAATTTTACAGCACTGTCATGCTTCTCTTAAATCAGAGATGTCAAAGCTGAGTACAGTTACAACTATGTGCCTTCAGGCCTTGGGGGAGTATTCTGTGACCCTACTGTAATACCTTAAGATAATAAGGTTAGTACAGCATAATACACAGTCTGCAGTGGAGCACAGCTTACAAATAAGGACCCTGTTATGATAAGTAATTTCTGGGAAACCAGAAATTAGCTGGAGAACCCAACTAACTTGGACTGCATTCACCCATTCACATATGCATAAACTGCCCATCACACAGCTGCTACAGTACAGGGATTTCCAAGGGTTTAGTAATATTATATGGTGGCATAGTACACAGGTTTTATTAATATTTGCATTAATATTTGTGGTGGAAAGGGTTGTGAGTTTTTATTCACTGGAACTGCGCAGCCATTTCAGACTCAACAGTCCTTGTGGTCCAAGGTTGGTCCTGGTAGTGTGCCCTGCTGGTGGGCATCAGAGCCTGCTCAAGCATGCAAACAAAATCATGTTAAGCCAATGTTTAAGGCTTATTCAGCTGTAATCTTTGCTACAATTCAATTCACTTTAATTGTATAGCCCCAAATCACAACAGAGGTGTCTCAGGACACTTTACAAAGTAAGGTCTAGACCCTACTATTATTATTATAAAGGAGCAAGCACTTGGTGACAGCAGAGAGGAAAAACTCCTTTTAATGGAAGAAACGTCAGACACACCCCAGCTATTAGTGGGCAGCCTTCTGCCTCAACAAGTCCTGCCATGAGGGTTTTGGTGAGAGATCTGTGTTCACTCACCCACTGGTGAAACGCTTCCTGAGGGGAGTGGGCAGACAGCAGCCTGTGGTTCATTCAGTGACACCTCAGTGGGATCTGCCCCTGGTCTTATGTGCGCTCGGGGGACCCCTCTTCAAGCCCATAGCACAGACTTCTCTCAAACACCTGAAAACGGCACTCCTCTTACCCCTGTCGTCGACTAAATGTGTGGGGGATCTGTGCACACTCTTGGTCTCACCAGCGTGTCTCTCTATCTGTGAAGACAGCAGCGCCGAAAATAATGACATCTCCTTTTCAATCCAGTCATCTCCCTGGATGGTTTCTTTCTTCCTCCACACAGAGATGAGTCGGAAAGAGAGTGCCATATCCTCTGTCCAGTGCGTGCACTGTCCCATTATGTGCGCATACGTGTCCCTCTTGCTCCTGACTAAGCAGCGGCTGTCTCACTGGTTGTGTAAGGGCATCATACAGGCATATGGGTCAGCTGGGAGAGATCCCCTGTCTGGCATCACAGCTTAAAATCAAACTCATTGTCAGTAAATCTGTTCACTCCCAAAAGGCCACAGCCAAGGATAGCGGATTCTCAAGTGGTGGGTGGTATCAAGAGTATCAAGTACAGAAGAGGCAGAAGAAAACAAAAACAAGTCATACTGTAGGTACAGTAGTTTAAACAAACTCCAGCTCTGCAGTTGCGTATCCAGCTTTTTCAGTGTTGCCATTGTAGACGAGCAATTTTTTGTTTGGATAAATTCTAATCTGGGTACCTTACATAGTACATGGTAAGTAGTAATTTTATGTGCCATATAAGCACACAGTTGTTAAGTAGGCATTTTTCTTCTGTGCAATTCTTTAATTCCTAAAATTGAGACAGTGATATGCAGGATTATATCTGTGCCTCTGCTTATTATCATCCTGTCTCCCACTATGTCTGAAGTCACCAACTGTTCATTTCAGTGACTGTGGTACATAAACCTAAGTAAACCTGAGTGCTTAGTGTACATATAAGAGAGTTGATGTGCATAGCCGTTTACATGTCTGCAGCATGTACTGTAATCATGTAATCTACTAGGGTAGAAATTACATCAGTGAGTGTATTTTCTCAGTGTTTGTCAGAGTAACTGGTCTGTACTTTCAGTTTTATGTACACTTGTACTCTACGGTATAAGAAAAAGACAAAATTTGGTTTGTCACCAAAATGTTATGCACTACCTATGCATTTGAGTAGTTTGCCTAAAAAATGTTTTCATTGTTGTTGAACATGTATCAGATAGTGCATAATGTAAGTCTTCTGTTTGATGTTGGCTTTTAATCTGCATTGCTGACAAATGAGTCAAATCCAAATTGCTGGGTACACTGTATTTTAACGAAAGGGTAGTTAATCTTATATGCAAAAGAGAATAAGACATTATAGCTTTTGTGTTTACCAGTATACATAACTGAAGTTGATGAATCTCGTGGAAGTTTGAGTTAAAACCTGCAATATTGTTTAAAATATATGTTTAAGAATCTAAGTTCAATTATAAACAATTTGATAACAAAGAAATCCAGTTAATTTTATATGATCAATACTCCATCACTTCACTTTGTTTGATGCACACAAAAACACCTTTGAAGTGCAGTAGCTGCATGTAATCGTTTTTGTAGCTTTTCTGACACTGTTTTTTTTTTTTGTCTTTGTTCCCTCAGGTCCTCCAGTCATCGTAGAAATGAGCATCAACATAGCAAGCATCGACTCTATCTCTGAAGTAAACATGGTGAGTTAAAGTCCTCTTTTGTCTTATGTATTTTTGAGGGGAGGTGGTAGTGTCCACTTCATGTTCACACTGTCAAGTCTACTGTTGTCCTGGGGAGGCCACAGGCCTTGCTGCAGGCACAAGACTAACATACTGTAAACACACTGTACCACAGCTGCTGTAAGAAAGAATTTGACACATTTATACGTGATTCTTCACTGGCTTCCTATAGTAAATGCTGCCAGTTGTGTTTGTCGCACTGGTTTGATCTATGTTTTGCTGGGCAAGATTTTGTAAATTTTTTGTGAATGAAAATGTGGTTTTCACAATAAATAGAAACATGTATTAGATTTTTGTTCTTTGTCTGGAAATACTGATATTTCAGTTGCAGTATAATCCTCTCACTACTCTGTAAGCACAGACAGTATTCTGTTGCTGTGGCACTTACCTTTGAGCCGTCAGAAGGGCAGGCTGAGCAGTGAGGAAGGCAATATGGCTGAAGTCTCAGTGATGACATCATTTTCTCTTAGCACTCTCTTATTACACTCAGCATGGTGTAGACACCCACAATGCAGCTCACTCTTCCCACATTGTTCACTATTTTGCTTTTTCATTCACTCTTTTTTTTTTTTTGTATTTTTCAGCTTTTGCTTGTGGAGTGATCAAATAATTATCAGTCTGTTCAAAGCCACAGTACAATTTGTTATAAATACTTGTGATTTGGTTAATATGTCTTCCATCTTCAAAAAAAAATTATATGTCAGTGTTTGCTGCAGTTTCAGTTGACAGTCATGTATCAAAAGATGGTTAGAGTGCCTTTGCCCTAGACCACATTTGCAATTGCTAATTTTTAACGACAAACATGGTGAGAGGGTGGATTGATTTGTTTGTCAGTAGAATGGCTGAATGATTTGTGTTTATTCATTAAATAATAATAAAAAATCAGGACATAAGGGATAAAATGTCTTATCCACATGTGAAGTGTGGATATACTTACACTCAGCTCCTCCAAACTCAAAAACACCTTTCAGCTATATCAAGTGTCACCTCTTTTTGTTTGCTACACTTTCTTCATCTATCGCAGAATGATATATGCATCAAAATCCACCTTAACACTGACAAAGTTTACCAACAATGTCATCCACATCTGGAGTTCTGTAGAACTGTCAGCACCACCATTCTACTATATGTGAGAATTAACAGCTTACAAAAACTTCCAGCCCTAACCCTAACCCTAACCCAACATCCAGCCACTTCTGTGTCGTTAAAACACAGAAGCGGCAAAAATGATATGTGTGCTTCAGCTACAGTTTCTTTGAGAGTTGAGTTGTGTGTAATTTTACACACAGGTAGTACAACTGCAATGGAAAATTTTGTTTTGCTCATATATGCCTGTGATGAACTCTGTCCACACAAAATATCTGAACTGTCTGCTCAGCAAAATGATAGCACAATCTGTCCATGAAAAAGTATGCACTTCCTGATTCTGAGTACCATCTCAGGACAAAGACTTCTTTCAGAGTGGGTGTATGTGTATGTGTGTAATCAGAACAGGTTCTTTTCATCTAATCCTCCCTGAAACTTACATGTGAGACCCATGTATATATAGTACTGAGTTCTTTTATTTTGACTTCTGTAGCAGACCACTCTGAATGCTGTTGTAGACTGCAAAAATGAATAACACAAAAGACAGATCTGTCCTAAATATTTTTATTTCACACTCACTAAAGGTTGCTTATTTTAGCACATAAAAGAAGATTTTTTTTCCACAACATCAACAGCAGTAACTTTATAAATTATTTAAATCTCTGGACATGGTGGCAGTAATAGGATAAATATTGTTCACTAGCAGGGACCCTACCCTCAGGAAAGGATCAAGAATCTTTATTGCAATTATGCATAGCACAACAAATTTTTTTCCAGCGGCTCTCGGCTTAAAAGACAGACATATTATTTACATAACGCACAATTGTATAAGTCAATATAAAAATATGAACAAATAAAAAGGGATGTATGGGACCTAATCAGGTCAGCAGCATGTTAGCAGCAAGAGTCTAGTAACATTATAAGGTGCAGCTCAGTGCAAATCTCAGTCTTTAGGAGGACATGTGGGGTCCAGTGTTCTGTGTCTGTCTATAGGGGGGAGGTTGTGTGTGTGACTAGAGGTTAGGAGGGATGATTGATTTCACAGCTCTGGGGAAGAAGCTGTGTCTCAGTCTGTTTGTTTTAGTCTTTATATTCCTGTACCTTTTCCTGGAGGGAAGAGGCACAAACAAACTGTTGCCTGGGTGGGAGAGGTGTACGCAGCAATTCGTCCCGCCCTCCTCTGGATCCGGTCAGTGTATAGTTAGTCCAGATCCAGAAGAGGACCCCCTACAATGCCCTGAGCTCACCACCCGGGTCAAGTCCTTTCTGTCCTGTGAAGTGCAGCTCCCATACCACACTGTCACACTGAGACAGAGGATGCTCTCTACTGTCGCTCTGTAGAAGTTTGTGAGATACTGAGAGGAGAGACCAGGATGTTTCACCTTCCTGAGGAAGAAAAGCCTTTAAATGGTAAATGGACTGTATTTTTATATAGCGCTTTCTCACAGTGTGTTGCACTGGCCAAAGCGCTTTACAGAAGATCATACACCATTCACCCATTCACACACAACATTCACACACCGATGACGACAGGCTGCCATGCACCGGCACTAGTCAAGCCACCGGGAGCAATTCGGGGTTCAGTGTCTTGCTCAGGGACACTTAGGCATGCGGGTAGACTGGGAGTCAAACCACCAACTTGCTGGTCAGGAGACGACTGCCCTACCTCATGAGCCACAGCCACTCAGGACAAGATTGTTATCTGAACACCACCTTGTCAGGTGCTGGATCTCCTCTCTGTAGTGAGTCTCATCATTGTCTGAGATGAGGCCCACTACGGTGGTGTCGGCTGTGAACTTCACCACTGTGTTTGTGGGGTGAATGGCATCACAGTCATGGGTAAACAGAGTGAAGAGAACTGGGCTGAGCACACAGCCCTGTGGTGTGCCTGTGTTCAGGACCAGTGTGGATGATGTGCAGCTTCCGATTCTCACCACTTGAGGCCTGTTAGTGAGGAAGTCCTTAATCCGTTGACACATCATTGCAGGCATTCCCAGATTGTACAGTTTCAGTGCCAGTTTGTCTGGGATTACAGTATTAAATGCCGAACCGAAGTCAACAAATAGCATCCCGTGAACAGACATGTCAATTCAGAAATGCACAGCCATGCATAGACTCCCTCCATATTACATCAATAATGAGACACACTTTATATATAATTTTTACGCGTAGGAGCACCCACTCGGCTCATGTTTCAACCCATACAGTGTGCATGCGGAAAGCGCTGCAGACAGTGGCCGAGCAGAGCCGATCCTGCACCAGTGGCCATGTTGTCACTCAGTTCTCACAAAATAGTTCATATAACAAAGAGTGTGGCCTTGTAAGAGAAAGGAGTTGTGAATTTGGACACACACAAACCTATTTCATTCATTTTACACCATTAGAACAGCTTCGCGTGCGCGTGAACACGCACGAGAATTCTCACAAACACACAGAGGCGCACACCGAATCAATACAACATCAAAACTGATATGCATTTTATCAAATCCTTTCATTATTAGCAAGTCACCCTTGCAAAAAACTGGAAAAAGTGCATTTTGGTTTCGTTTTGGCTGCAGGCTTCGAAAATGGAATCATGTCACCATCTGGTGGATGACTATCAGAAGTTGGGACCAAGTACTTCAAAATTCATTAGGAACAGAGTGCGGTGCATTGCTTTATTGTAGGATAAATATGGCATCAAAAATAGCATTTGTAATGGTTTTCAATGGGACAAAAAATGTCTGGAGGGTGATACTTGGGTGGATTTTTAAAAATCTGCCACTACAAAAAAACCCAAAAATGCATCAATATCAATGTTACTACCAATCACTGACCCATCCCAGGGCCTAATAATAATAATAATAATAAAATACTGGTTGAAATGCATTTTTTGAAAATTATTTCATTGTTTTGTTTTTTTCCATTGAAAAAAGAGGGGTTATGACAACATACTGGCCTTTAAAGGGTTAAATAACTTCCCAAAATATAATTAATATTTGATATGTATATTTCAGACAGAAGTAGTTTTAAGAGATTGGCTAGTTTAAAGTAGAAAAAATATGAATTGATGGCATTTTTAGAGCTGTTTTTCCAAAGGGTACATTTTTTGTCCAGAGGGACACTTTTGGATGGATTTTAAAGGATAGCATGAGGGTTAAACACAAGCTCAGAGTTACTGCTGGACTGTGATGGTAAAAGCTCAGGGTGCAGGATACTGCTGGGTGCACAATGGCAAGACATTATAAATAATAAAAACAAATAAAACATTCTGATAGTGCAGATTCTAGAGGCATAAACAACCTTCATAACTGCAGTGGAATATGTTCACTTGCATAGGTGTGCACTCACAACTTTCCTAATTCCACATCGCTGGTACATGCAATCCTTCATTCATTAAATAAATCTTTTGATAAGACATTGGAGACATTGCATTGTTTTTATAAATTTGAACTATCAAATCTCCAGACCCTTTTGTATTTTGCACTACTTGGCAGACATTATATCACTTCACTCTTCACTTATGGTTTTTTCCAGTTACAGTAGAGTTTTACACAGCACCACTACAACTGTATTTATACGGTTTGCTGTCTATGTACTTTTCTACAAATGCTGAGTAGTTTAGTTTTTGATTGTGTAAAAAAGCCAAACAATAGTAGATGCATTTATTTATTGCTGACACTGTCCCATCAAAGTTGCCATTTGCTTGTTTTACCCTTTTTATTTTATGCTGTGGTAAAGTATTGAATAGAGGAGTATATATAACATTTTTATATTTCCATGTCTTCTAGTCTGCACTATCTTGTTCTTGTTGTCTACATAATGTATGGTATTGACGCTTCGTTGTGATTTTTGGATTGATGTCAATAGTCAGCTTTTCATTTATTTATTTATTTGCTGACTGTGATAGCATCTACAGTATGTTCATGTGTTACTATCAGTCTGAATAAGCTTGTCAACTATTTCTGAAGGGGTCACTCCAATCTCTGTGTCTAGCTTTATTAGCTATTGGCAGGAAACAATCAGATAGACACACAACAGAAAAATATGTTTTGGGTAAACTGTCACCAGTGCTCCTGACCTTGTGTCTATATTTTTTTCTGTCAGTGACTTCATCAAAGGTTTTTCTTCTCTCCAGGACTACACCATCACAATGTATTTCCAGCAGAGCTGGCGAGATAAGCGTTTGGCCTATGGTGAGCTCAGCCTGAACCTGACACTGGACAACCGTGTTGCAGACCAGCTTTGGCTCCCTGACACCTACTTTCTTAATGACAAGAAGTCCTTTCTTCATGGTGTGACAGTAAAAAACCGTATGATCAGACTGCATCCTGATGGCACTGTCTTATATGGGCTGAGGTAAGAACAGTAGAAATGCTGACTAGTGTCATGTTCATGTCTACAATGTCTTATATGTACTGGGTGAACTTCATTTATTAGTTTCCATGGTTAGATAAAAACAAAAGGAAAAAGAACAATGTGGCTGTCAAAGGTTTGTGTGACAAAAAAGAACTTTTTAGTTTACACAGACTAACAGGATCAGCAGAAATAGTTAGTACTGTTACGAAAAGATCAACGTTATTTATAAGTGCATAACCACGAGTCTGTATAGAAATAATGTGGATTAAAGCACTACTGCTGTGTTTTAAAGAAAAATTCAAACACTCCCCCTCATACATCTAAAAAAATGAATTCATAGACAATAAAAGACACCACCACTCACTTCAGTAAACTCAGGGGCCTTGCTGCTACAGTTTCTGTGGTCTGGTATGACCACTGAGTGTATATGGACAAACTCTCTGTGACATCACCCATTGGTTTTCTGAATAGCGGTTTTGAAGCTCAAGTCTGGCCGTCACCATATCGGTAGTGCCTCACTCTACCTGCTATGGTTAATTCAAATATGGACAAAGAGGCAGAGTGTGAGTGGAGCCTGTTAGACAGCTAGCAGCTAGCCACCTGTGGCAGGCTGCGAACTGGTTTATTTCAGCTCTAAATTTGGGCATGTTAACATTAGAGTCTATTGGGATCAAATCACTTTTGGAGTCAGCCTCAAGTGGCCATTTGAGGAGCTGCAGGTTTTAACACTTCTGCATTTGCTTCAATTCTCGGCCTCGGAGGCTGACGCTTGGGTATGACCAGTAGCTTCTGGCAGCTAATGTTAGCAGACATTGGGTAGATATTACAGGTGCCTCATTTTATGACAGTTCTCCAATTGTGCTACTGTGACTCTACATTTTATCATTTAATGTGACAGGCTGGTTCTTGTGGCTACTGTATCTGCTGTTCAGCAAATTCACATAATCCCAGTTAAATTTAAGTATATTTCTACAGAACTGCTTCATATTCCATATTTGTCCACGTTGCACTTGCAGTTCAAAGATAATACAGGTCATGTGACTTGGACACTGAAAATTGTCCCAAGGTGTTAAAGTGACTGAGAATGTTTGTCTACCTGTTCCCAGAAATGGCCTGGCAACTGTTCTAGGATGTGTCCCTGCTTCTTACCCAGCATGCATGCTGGGAATTCAAAAAGGGATGCTAGTATAGTATAGAGAAGGGATGAATTTTTCATGTGTTTGAACAATTTAATAATGCATGATGACTCTGAAAGAAAATATATACAGGAAAAATATTTCATCCATGTTGTGTGACATTAAACAAGATTTGCATGAACAAAGAAGGAAGGATGGTAGGAGGAGTATGTAGAAATCTAGAGTAAGTAAAAATCCTGAGTAATAGCAAATACCAAATTATATGTTTTGAAACCAGGATAAACAGTTTCAGTAATATACAGATGAAAAATTGGGGTGATTTTTTTTCTAGCAGTCAGCAGCTGAAGACCCAGGCATATGACTTGTAATTAAATAACTGCTATTTTTTGTCATGTGCCAGTAACAAGTTCACTGCTGCTAGTACTATTATTGTGGCAAGATGAATTATGACAAATTTGTTTGGTAGCAAACAACAAAATTAAAAGTTTTATTTACAACAGTAACAGGCAAACAATAACAGTTTTGGAAGGAGTGAGGGGTCCATTAAATCCATGATTCGTTGATTCAGAAGGCTACAAAAAGGTTCTGAATGCTCAGTACTTAAATGCCCCAGATCACTGTGACAAATGAGACAACTCAGTCAAAAGTAAATGAGCCCAGAGGAGCCCATCTAAAATCCCTTAGGGATGGCTAAAGTAAGATGTGTCCTGAAGTTTGTTCAAACTCAGAATGGATTATTTCTTTTCTTAACACAAGTCATTAAAATAAAGCAGCTTGATAGGGCCAAACAAGCTGGGAATGTGTTTTGTTTCATGAATAAAAGAAAGCAGCAGTGACAAGGTTTAGATCATATGAAGCAATGAATTATTAATGCAATAATCAGTATTCAGAATCTGAATTACTGAATTGATGCTGACACAAAAAGCGATATGATGGCAATTTTTTTCCCTTTAAATGATTCTTTGCAAGACTATTATCAGCACAGTAGAAATAAAATGTCACTGCTGTTGAAGCTGCATGTCTACTAAATAAATCTTTAAGGTTTGTTCCTCTCTCTTTGTGACAAGTGAACATGGACATGGCAAACTAATTTTAGCTATTAGCAGTCTTGGAGCAGCATGGTGCAGTCCTGACAATAGTCTGACACAGGATAAACATAATTTTTCTAAGAGGAATATACTATCAGCATGTGGCATTGGGGTGCTTCAACACAGGCCAAATAAATCAACCTCTGTCAACTCCCTTCTAGCTGCTGCTCAATGGCTACAGGAATTAAATCAAAGAAGCTGGGAAATAGAAGAGCCTCCATCCTACAAGCAGTTATCAACAACAATATTAGCAAGTGTAAACCACTAATATATATGACACTGCATTAATCCAATTAAAATATAATTTTGATTGTTTTTAAATGTGTACTAAAACAACATTTGTGTGCCTCTGCTATATATTACGGAGGTGGAAGCAGGATCAGTTTCATACCATAATGGTGCTAAAACTACAATCCACCACCTGATCTGAATAAACATTCCCAGCTGCTCCACTTGGTTCACCTCAGCACATGTAGATTTCTCTGCAGCCAGAGAAGTTCCAAGCAGATGGGCATATTCAGGAGAAAATGGCATTCAACCTGCATCTGCACCACCCCTGGGTTTGTGTGGTGTATGGCAGATGGGGGTCAAGGCCCTGGATCTGTCCTCTAGACTGTCAAAGTGTCCTTGTGCAGGATGCTGAACCCTCCACCCATTGCCCCCATTGTCCCCAATAGTTAGAGCCATCAGTTGAGTTGGCACCACAGATGCCTGCCATTGGTTCTGTACTGGAAACAAATTCCTTGTGTGCAACATACTGTACTTGGCCAATAAAGGTGTTTATCCTTAAATGTTGCAGTACTGAAATCTCATTGCTTGAGGTTTTTGTTATCTTAAATGCATTTCCTTGTAAGGACCACCTTGTCTGAATTTATGCCCTGCATTACCCTTGAATACAGTAGAATATAAGCTATGGACAATCACATTACACACACTACTGCACTTTGTACTATGCTCTCACCTGTCCACTCACTGTGAAATGTGATGAGGCTTTTTCCATTTTTGTGTATTGGTCTTTTATACCTTGGTAAAGGAGCTAAGTATTTCTTCCATCACTGTCAATGACATGTAAATAAAGTGAATTGGAGACTCTAATATATAGATTGGAGCCTATAAATGTGCATGTGCCTACTCCTAGTTCCTTTCCCCATGAGTGACCATTGATTGTATAAATCAAAATAGGTAGGATGATGGTGCATAAAATTTGAATCATGACTGGAAGACTGCCCTCAGCCACAACCCTAGAATTAATCTTTTTTTTTCTAACCTTACTTAAATTGTCATTTTTGTATATGTGAGCTATAGTATACAGTAGCTCTAGTGCTTTATTTTTATGTAGACAGGAGGGAGGAGGCTGGAGCGAAGACTGCTGAGTGGTGGAGGAGGAGCAGGAAAGCATTTGGGTGTTGCAGACAACAACAAAGTCATTCCAAACATCAATAAAAGAAGCTGGTGTCAGTAGAAAGTGTAGAGCCCAGAGTGCATGATAGAGCAGGTTTTTCTAATTCGCCAGTGAGCTGAGAGGCTGAATCATCATTAGCTAACTGACTATCCAGTTTGGCAGTTCACTGGGTCCTGATAGCATTAAAGGCTTTGTTGAGCTGAGCTTTCGCCAGATGGTGTTTTCTCTCTTCTCATTCCCATGAATCTGCTCTCTCATGTTCCTCTGTTTATGAAACTATGGTATATGGCTCACATCTGAAAATCTCCCAGTCTGTAGTACTGAGCCTTTGGGATCCACCTTCAGATTTCTTAGATGTTGCATTGACCATGTTGTACCGGCCTGTAAAAATGAATGGAATGCATTTTTAATTATAGAATGCAAGTTTTAACTTTCCTGGGTGCTACTAAGCTATTTTATTTGATTTGCATGGCAATAAAAGTCAAATTTGTAATCTATGTACTAATCATGACAGTACAGACTTTTATATGTGTGTGTCAGTTTTTTCAATCTGTCACATAGCTGTGATAGTACTTCAGGTGGTTTATGTACCATTTGGTATAATACAAACCAGTTGATGGTGAGATATTTCACTAGATAAGTGAAACTTTGGCCACCTGGTGGAACTATGGGAAAGGTTGGGAAAGTATTGTGGTTATTGAGACTAATCCTGTGGGGAGATCATAAAAGTTATTGGGCAGGCAGCTGCAACGCCTAAAGGTGAACATCAAAACCATTCAACCAGCCCTAAGTGAATTCCTATTCAATATTCAGAGATATCACATGCGGCCCTTGAATGTTTGTAGAACATTTCATGGCAATCCAATAGCTGATGAGATATTTCAATTTGTACCAAAATCATGGACACACTGATCAATTTTGCCATATGTAAAGACACAGCACCAGTATTCAGATGGTATGGTTGCTCAGTGGTTAATGCATGGTTGGGTGAGGTTATCTACAAGTACCAGTGGTTGTTTTTGTTATCTAGAAACAAAAATAGAGCTAATCTCATTTTACCTCATTTATTTTAGGTGGACATTCTACAGTAACCTATCCCTATATACTGTACTGTATATGTAATACACATCATTGAATATAATCTGGAAATCTACAAATCTAGAAAGTAAAGAGACTGCATACATATCGGACTGCAGTGCCTGATCTGCAGTTACATTATGCCTGTTCAATGATGATTCTCTCCTGACTTGTTAAGTGTCACAGTCAAAGTCGATTATATCTGTAGTGGTTTTTTTTTTCTTTGTCAAGGGGTAAAGAAGTCATTTTTGACTATTATTTCAAGATGCTGCTAGTGCCAGGATTTTACTGCTACTACATAATGTACTGTAGCAAGGGTATTTTTTAAAAACAGCAACAGGTTATGGCTTCCTGTTTATGATCAAAGAGGACACAAGACCTTACAGCTACAGCAGTTTCAAACAGTATGGTTTTCTCCATATTTTTAGTTGCTCATTTTTTTACTGCATAAAGTAAGATACTGTACTGTTTGGGCACTGTACCTTTTTTCTTTTGCTTTACCACTATGTTTTTTGGGCCCAAGTTAGCTAGATGGCTTTATTCAGTGCTTTGGTTATAATGTGTTAACATGGTAGATACCTAGTTTCCACAGTTCATTGTCATTAGAAATATTTATTCTCAATCAGCTTTTGTGATTGATAGGATCCCATGTCAACACACCATTTAGTGCCAAAGTTAGAACATTTCCTATTAGAGATTTCTCAGTTCTTTTGAGTCACTCTCCAGCTACCATTAGCTAATGTTAGCTGGGCTGCCTGAAATCTTGTTGAAGCTTTTTTTATTTTTATTGTTACACCTAAGATACACCTAAACATGTAATAACAGATTTTATTAGCCCCTTTGGGCAGCAGAAAAAAGATATGAACACAATATAATATGTCTTCAGTTTTTAAGTGTATATGCCACAGAAACCTGTTAGTAAACACTTGCTAATTTACACATCCAGCAGGTACAGAGCAACAGTATTACTACTATAAAAGTCTCTTTTAGAATCATGAAGCCATGTTTTTTTCAGATAATCTAAATGTATGCCTACCAACTCTCAGCCATGTTATTATTTTCATTCCATTTTTCGTTCAACATTTTGACTAAGAAAATCATGATATCTAAGTGAACCTTTTATTAATGCAATTAGGCATGATGTTATCTTGTCACAGTGTGTGTTGGTAGTAGCCCTGTTGTATCCTGTCAGCAGAGGAGCACTGTGAGACAGCAAAGAGGTGCAGAGGAGATGCAGTAGGAGCAGTTTAATGCTTGTGCAGCAGAATGCAGCTCAGTGGCATTGTGAATAATAAATACATAGGTGTCACACATTGTGTTTGTGTATAATTTTCTTTACCCTTCTGATGCCTCCTGCTGTCATGGACTCTGAGGCCTCACATATTTGTATGTTAATCTGGCCCAATCAGCTTTAGCTGAACATAGTTTATTTTGCAGTTACCTGCTGTGTATCTCCAATGTAAACAGCTTATTAACTATTGTATTACTTATTACAAATACCTTTGATGGCTGTGTACATTTGCTAATGAATCCATGTAAAACCACAAACTGTAGCAGCACTGGTTGGTGGCTTTAACTAAAACATGCCTAATCCTAATCCAAAATGTGAAAGATAATTATATCGTAGGGGTTTTTAAAGTATTTAAAGACCTCTAAATACCATTTGTAACCAAAACTGGTTTGCTAGGCTTCTGGGTTTATTGACATTAATAAACTACTGTGTATGCATCTTTTCCTAAAGCAGAAATGCATATCCCAGAACAAGCAATAAATAACTTGCAGTGTTAAAATTGCATACATAGGATCAGCAGTTAGGGAGTCACATAAAAAGAAATGACGTCTCCAAACTACTCACAGAAACATAAAGAATAAATCATGTTTAAGAGTTTCTGGAAAAATAGGAACATAAGAAAACTCACAAAATGCAAACTCTTAACATAAAAGCGTAAGGGTTTACTCTCCTTGCCATCTGCCATACTGTGTGTACACATGCGGTATTGTCAGTACAATTTATTCTTAAAATCTTGCCATTTATGGAGGTGCTGCAGCACTTTCATGTTTTCTACAAACAACCACAAAATAATTACTTTTCCAGTGTTACAGAGATAAACAGTGGGACCGTACAGGGTTAATCATATTTGCAACATGTCAAATTTTATCTGACACACACATGAACTGTCTTTGTGATATCACATGCGTCTCTGTTGTTTATCTGTATTCTTTTACTTAGAATAACCACCACTGCTGCTTGCATGATGGACCTGAGAAGGTACCCTCTTGATGAACAGAACTGCACCCTAGAAATTGAAAGCTGTGAGTAATTCTTTTCTTTCTTTTTTTTTTTTTTTGGTCTCTCACAACAAAGACCTTTACACTGAAAATACAACAACCTTCAAAAACAAAAGTCATGACTGCCAGGCAGTTGTTTGTACTGCTTAATCACTGTCTTAAACTCACTGTACTTCTAAAAATTACATGAAATTAAGTGAGTTTCTTGGTAAGTACTTTTGTGTGATATAATTTAGAGAAGATATTAGTGAAATATTTGACATCTTTGCCAATGTCTGCCATTTGTCAGATGTTTTACCTCTCTGCAGCTGATAACTGCTTTGAGTGATACAGAAGAAATCACAGTTTCCTCAGTGTGACAGATGTACAGACTAATCAGACCAGTTGGTCTGTGAAGAGCAGCTTTACAGTCTGTACAGAATATGACACCCTCTGTTCTTAGACCCTGAAATCAGACAAGGAAAAACTGCTCAAATAAATCTGTAATGGGGAAAAAAATTAAAGAAAGCTCAAGAGGGGGTCCCTTTTCCAGGACAGAGATGCAATAAATGTTGTAATAGATTGACAGTATGGGTGATCAGAAAGACAAAACTATGCATTGTAAACATATATTAAGAACAGTTATGCATGTGACAACATACAGTAATTAGCATCTAATGTGCAAGAAACAATGATTATTAATTACAGTTATTATTATCATCAAATTTATAATACATTTTAATAAAGATTTTAAAAGGAAGCCTGCAAAATCCAGATATTTAGTTCATTAAGACAGTTTACTCTAAAAGAGAGTAATTTATTATTATCTGCTATGTGTATTTAGTTTGACTTTTTTGGAAATGTGCTTATTTGTTTTTTTTTTGTTTGTTTGTTTGTTTTTTGTAGAGTGTTAGATGAGATGAACTGCTGCAAACAAGATGATGAGACAAAATAGACCAAATTAAACAAACAAGACATAATGTGTTAATTAGTGTGCCTTAGAGGCAGTGGTGGGCACATTGTGTTACCTTTGGACTGAGACAGGCTACTGTAGCTTCTTCCCTGTTTGAAGTTTTTACGGGAAGCTAAGCTGCATGCTGTAGCTTCATATTTAGTGTACAAGCATAGTATCAGTCCTTCTGTCCAACTGTTGGCAAGCAAGTAAGTGTATCATCCAAATTCTAGACTATCCCTTTAGTTCAGAGTTATTCAGGAACTAGTGCTTAGTCATCCTGTTCCTAATTTGTTTTGTATTCTTCCCTTGATAACTAGCACAATTAGTCCGAGTCCTGCATTCAAAATATGCAAATTCAGATTTTTGTTTTCCTTTCAGTTTTACTGAAGCTTTAGTTTGCTGCCTTTTCAGTGGCATCAGCAGCACAAACCATTAACAGTTTGCACCATTTATTTAAATCTGTGTTACTGAAAAAATCAAATTATTAGAGTAATTTCCAGTTCAAACAATAAGTTTCATTAATTGATGAAGTGATTTCATTAGTTCTGTAGCTATTCATATTGAAGTTCTAAATATACATAACCTGATTTTTAGTTCACACCTCCAGTTTGTAACACAAGATTGCTGTCATACATTTGTTGCTCAAGTTGAGATAACTCTGATGACATTATTAACGTTATTTTCTCAGAATTTAAAAAGAGCCATGGAAGATATGGAATAGCTTATGACCTGGAAGCTTGACTGTTAAAAAGAATATTTAATTGTCACCTGCATGTGTATACTTTATGAAGTATCTTTTAACAAGTATACAGTTAACTAAACAAAAATGCAGACATATATTAAGCAATATACGAAATTTAATGACACATGTTTTTTCCCAAATGCTTTGATTTAGATAAATCAGCATCCAGGAGTAAAATGTGCCAGTGGTGTAATTAAAAATTGTATTTGAACGATCATTTTCATTGACCACTCCATCAATCAACCCACTTGCTCAATACACCAGATATTTGTGGTTCTTGCTGTTCAAGACAAAACTGCAGAGTGTTTACCCTTGGGGACATCAGTAAGCAATGAAATATGGATATGCCATGAATTAAAAAGTTGCAAGAATATCTGCTGTTTATTCTCATGAAATGAACTGGGACTTGTACTCATTAACCAGCATTGATTAGGCAGGAAGTTACTTTACTTTCATGGACAATGTCACATTTCCTTAGCCTACAACCACAGAGACAGATTTATTGGTCTGAATCCTGGCCCCTCTGTGAGTTTAATGCCATCCAGGACTGAACGTGTGGTAGTAGAATGTGAAATGTAGTAACACTTTCTGGATTGAGAAATTGCTCTGCAGTGAATGCATACTGGCCTAGTGACATATAAATCTAGTCATTTTAAGTTGCACTAACAGAATGTGTAGGAGCGACATACCAAGTGACTGTGATGTTAATGAATATTCATGCAGTTAGCAATGCAAGCAGTAATATGCAGTAAGTCCATGGTCTGGAGTGGAGCATGTGATTGCAGACCAAAAGAACAGACAGATATACAGCTTTGACAGGAAGGTTTTCCACTGAAGGAGTGGTTTTGGTTTTAGTGCTGTTTTCTTTTGCGCATAGACCTAATGGATGGAGCCATTTACCAAACATTTCTTCTTAAAGCCATTTGTGCAACTTGTATTTAAAAAATGCAAGAATTAATTTGATAAACTGTAGAGATAACATTATGTAATTATGTTTTATTTATGGCAAACAGCCTGTAATATGTTGCTTCACATGTTGGTGGATTTAAAGTTCATGGTAGAGCATTTTCAGAACCAGACATTTTGGGGTGGCTTCCTCACTGGAAGATTCACTTAACAAATTTAGTGTGGTTTAAGAGATTATCAGTATGTATCGTTTTTTGGACATTTTCAGTTAAAAAAAAAAAAAAGAAATACACAAACAATGTATCCATAGCCACAAGAATGGACAGTTTTCCAAAAATTATTTCATATTTATTTGTTAAATTGAATATCACTTTAAAAAGTATTTTTTCTATAACTTTCATTCATTTTCTACCGCTTAATCCCTGAGCGGGGTCACGGGTGGGGCCGGAGCCAATCCCAGCCAGCAATCGGGCGAAGGCAGGGACAACC